GAACTAATCGAAGTACAATCTATTTTGTTACAGCTACTGTAAAGAAGTATGAAACAATCTGGCTCTCAATCATGGAGAATATACAACACAAACACCTACATTAAATATTGATAAAAAATGATGACGTTAGGAACTATGCTACTCTCCATATGTTAGTATGCAAAGACAATGTTTATCAAATGAAGCATATTTAGTTCGGTTCAGACTGCACTAAATTAATAAGAACGTAAAAAGTTCCTGAATAACTCTAACTCACCCAATCACAGAGAGTATATCACACAAACTCCTACAACAATAGCCTCCAATCCGAATTAATATGTAATATTGTTTCCGCTTGATCATTACTTTTTCATTTTTTTTTTATAATTGTACTGAGAAACTGCTTTTTTACAATAGCTTTCAAAAAATTACTTTTTCCATAGTAGTTTTACGAGCACCTCTACAAAAATCTAAATCCATCCCATATGAAACCTAAATATGATATATGACGAACTCATCTAGCCCTTACTCAAACTAAAATGATATCGATGTGACCAAGTTTTGATCCTATATATATAACTTTTTTTGTAGCTCGTTTGAGCATTAGAGAGCTTAGGGTCCTTGTAACCGCTTTTTCTGTTAACATGTAGGCCCCTCCATGAATTTTAATAAAAAAAAATTATATATATATATATATATATATATTTCATTGCATTTTAGGATAGGACTGCAATATGGTAATTTTGTTATAAGCTCAGAACTTCTTTAAACTAATTCAGATATTAATTAAAAATTTTTGTACTAAAAATTACTTTTGAAAATTGATACATCATCCGAAAATTATCTTGATCGGGCACAAATCTCAAAGCAAAATCAAGTTGGAAACTCCCGAAATTAAAATCATGAGCATCTGAACTCCAATTTCAGCAAACTTACAGTCGAACTGAGCGTCTCGGAAGTACGAACCCAACGACACCAAATTCGACCCAATCCAAGTCCAAATGGGTCCAAACCAAGGACCCGAAGCACTGTTGGAAGGTTCAAACCACGATTTGGATTACCAAACAGCTTCCAAACATAACAAACTTATAGTTGAATTGAGCGGCTCGACGTGATGAATCCAACGAGCCCAAGATCACTGAATTCCGACATCACTACAAAATTCAAACATCCATCGAACGGTTCATAATCAAGGGATTCAAGATCGGCCATCCATCCAACCACTTCCAACTAACCCTTGATCCTCCACCTAATTACAGGCCATGTCATTCCCAAAATCTATAAATAGAGCTCCCTCTCCTTTGAAAGAACACCCCTGAGCCTAAGAAAAAAAGAGAGAGATCGAAGATCGCTCTTGCTTCCTAGCCTCCTCGACCACTGTCGGAGTTTCGCCGGACCACTGCCGGAGTTCCGACGAACCACCATTGCTCCACCAATGCCGGACGTCCGCCGGACCACCACCTGACGCCATGTGCTTTGCCGGACCACCACCTGACGCCCTGTGCTCCACCAGACCACCGCCTAACGCCGTCGTCCCGCCGGACCACCACCTGACGCCCTGTGCTCCATCGGACCACTGCCTAACACCGTTGCTCCATCGGACCATCACCTGACGCCCTGTGCTCCACCGGACCACCGCCTAATGCCGTTGTCCCGTCGTACCACCACCTGATGCCCTGTGCTCCATCGGACCACTGCCTAACACCGTTGCTCAATCGGACCATCACCTGACGCCTTGGGCTCCACCGAACCACCACCTGACGTCCTGTGCTTCGCCGGACCACCACCTGAGACCCTCGCCTTCGTCGAACATCCTATGCTTTACTAGACCTTCACCAAAAGTCTGGAGTTCTGCCAGATCATCATCTAAGGCCCGAAGACCTGCCACACCATTACATGACACCCAAACTTCTATTGTGCAATTGTTACTTGTAATCTGATTGCCCTCAAAGGTGAGTCAGCCCATTGTAACCAACTCAAGTTCTAGTAAAATCTTTTCAACTAGGCTAGGCCCCGTGGTTTTTCACCTTTCAAGTGTGAGCTGGATATCTGTATAACGCTAAGACGAACGATTAAAACTCTATCGACGCGTATATTCTAGCCTGCAACATTTTTGCATCGTATGTGGGAATCAGCTAATCTCACTATCCTAAAGCATCACCGCCATGGTTAACAGGCGTAGTAATCGCATCCTAGGAGCCTCCCGCTCCAACTCACATCTATCTTGAAATCATTCCCTGAATCAAGGATGCTAGGCATCTGCCTCTTTTCGTCCCAGCGGTCGAAACCCTGCCGTAGAAGGGACTTTAGGACCATCCCTGGAAGATCGTATCAGAAAGATGGAGGACTCGCAAAATAAAATTCTCCAACTCTTGTGAGAGACTCGAGGACCAGAACTAGCACCCCAAGAAAATGTTCTTCTCCCTCGAGACCCACCTGAGTTCGAAGATGTTTTTCAAGTCGAAGTTCCTATTCCTCTGCCAAGGATGTGCCCTCTAACACATCAAGAGAACGAGCTTGCAGACACAGCAAGCTCTACACATCCTTCGCAAATAGGCCGCCAGCATCGTATTCCTTAGGATGTCCCCGAGGACTTAACTGGACGGCACATTACCGAACTCCCCCGTAATACCCTATGGCATGAATTACGAAGACTAGTTTGAGAGGAGTTCCCTGTTGGAGATATATAACAATCTCTTCGTCAAAGAGATTTTAATGAGTCACCTCCGCTGACCAAAGCCATCCTTCAACACTCTATTCCGGAAAGGTTCAAACTACCAAACATAGATTCATATGATGGGATGTCTGACCCGTACCAACATATCGATCACTATATGACCATAATGCACATCCAACAAGCCTCTGATGCGCTCTTATGCCAAGTCTTCCTAGCTACCCTCAAAGCGAAAGCTCGAACATGATTTTATTCACACCTCGCCGGATCCATATTAGATGTTCATCAAATTAAACAAAGTATTTGTCAAACAATTTATTGCCAATCGAAGGATGGTCAAAGACTCTTCCAACCTCTCAGGAATTCGGCATAATGAAAATGAGTCCCTGAAGGAGTACTTTCAAAGATTTTTTACTGAGGCCCGACAAATTCTAGGAGTTGAACCTGAATACTTAGAGGCATATTCCTCAGAGGGCTTCATCCTGGCCCCTTCTACTCAGTACTCATGAGAGATACAGCCCATTCATATGCAGACCTGATCCATCGTGTAAAAGCTCAAATCTTTGTCGACGAAGCCATTAACGCTCATAGGAAGCAGTTTGAACAAATATCCGGGAAGCGAAAAAGTGCACCAAGAATGGAGAATCCATCCTCACAACGGAAGAAGCAGGGGAACTATAATCTTCCCTCTCGGCTAGACCTGTCAATTTCAGGTTACGGGTCGGGTTGACCCGAACCCGAAATTGATCCGGTATTATTCGGGTTCGGGTTGACCAGACCCGATTTTGCAAACGGGTCAATTTTTTGGACCCAAACCCGACCCGCTTCGGGGTCGGGTCAACCCGACCCGACCCGCGGACGCAACATTGCCTTTGGACGCCGACGCAGATCTGCGGACGCCGGCGACGCCGAACTGTCCTGGGCCGCCCGCCGCCTAGCCTAGCCGCCTCGGAACGGAACGTCGGGTTCGGGTCGGGTTTTCGGGTCGGGCCCAATATTGACAGGTCTACCCTCATCCCTCACAGCCACGATGAGAGCCTCGCCAAGAGAAGGAGTACACATCACTTAACGTATCCCAAGCAAATGTTTTGATGTCCATCTAAGACCAGGAGAGCGTAAAGTGGCCACATCCTTTGAAGCCCAACTTCGGAAACCAGGAGCAATATTGCCACTTCCACCGGAGCTGTGGGCATACTACCGAAGCATGCAGGCAACTCAAGGAAAAAATTGAAAGACTGATCCGACAAGGATATCTTCGATAATTCATCAAGAATCCTTCAGCGTGAGATGATGATGCTCCGACTGGGGGGTAGAACCAACAACAAAGACAGTCGACTAACAATCGATAAATGGTTGGTGAAATTCAATCTATTGCCGGGGGCCTATGATGCCGAGTCAAGTCCTGATTGCGGTTAGCGAAGAACCAATGCCAAAGAAGTCTCGTGCCGATCATTCCATTGCCTTCGATGATTCTGATTTAGAGGGAATAAAGACCCCTCATCAAGACTCACTCGTAATAAGTATAGGGATCGTTGACCTGTGCTATAAAGTCAAAAGGATCTTGAACTACAATGGGAGCTCCATAGATGTTCTATTCTACTCCATATTTCTCAGCATGGGCCTCGCTCGAGAAAAGGTCCAACCCACTGCAGGTCCACTATATGGATTTGATAATCGGCCTGTACGAGTAGAAGGTATGATAAACCTTCCTTTTATGTTGGGAGAATTCCCCCGACAAGCCACACACTCCATCCAGTTTATTGTCATGAAGTCAGAGGCAGCATACAATGCTATCTTTAGAAGGCCATTGCAGTCAATCTTCGGGATCCTTGCTTCGATCCCATATTTCAAACTTAAATTTCTCACCCCATCAGGAACTGGAGTAATACGAGGAGATCAACAAGAGGCACAATCCTGCTATGTTCTACAGGTTCAATCATGCCCATCAATTACCTTAAGCATGGAAGACTTTGATCTACGAAGCGAGCACATTCCTCAGAAGGCCTCCCCTATCGAAGGTCTTGCTTGTATCTCCCTATCCGATGAACATCCTTCAAGGACAATACAGATCGGATCATTAATCTTAGAGAAAGAAAAAATAGAATACGTAGAGTTTTTACGAAGAAATCAAGATATCTTTTCCTGGAGTCCAGTAGACAAGCCCGAAATCAGTCCTGAAGTGATTGTACACTCCCTCAATGCAAACCTAACGTACAATCCAGTTGTTCAGAAAAAGTGAAATTTTGCACCAGAATGCCAACAAGCCATAGAGAAAGAAGTCGACAAGCTCTTAGAGGCTGGATTTATAAGAGAAGTACACTATCCCACATGATTGGTGAATGTGGTGATGGTAAAGAAGACTAATGGAGCTTGGAGGATGTGTATTGATTACATAGACCTCAATAAGGCATGTCCGAAAGACTTCTTTCCGCTCCCCCGTATTGATCAACTTATCGATGCCACGTCCGGACATCAAATTCTTAGCTTCATAGATGCCTACTCAGGCTACAATCAAATAAGAATAAATCCTGTAGATGAGGAGGCAAATGATTTTCAAACAGACAGAGGACTGTACTGCTACCAGGTTATACCTTTTGGATTGAAGAATGTAGGAGCCACATATCAGCGCCTCATGAATAAGGTGTTCAAAGACCTTATAGGGCATACAATGTAGGTCTATGTAGACGATATGCTGGTAAAAAGTCTTGAAAAATCTCAGCATATTTCTGATTTGGAGCAATATTTCTGTCTCCTTCGATCTTACAACATGCACCTCAACCCCTCCAAATATGAATTTGGAGTAGCCTCAGGAAATTTTTTGGGTTTTAAGGTTATCCACCGAGGGATTGAGGCCAATCCTGAGAAGATCCAGGCTCTAAGGGATATGGTGCCTCCTAGAAACATCAAAGATGTCCAGAGATTAAATGGAAGGATTGCAGCACTCTCTCGCTTCTTAGCTCGCTCAGGAGATAGATATCTACCATTCTTCAAAATCCTTAGAGGTGCTCCTAGGTCAGGATTTCAATGGACTGATGAATGCTAGGAGGCCTTCGAACAGCTCTGAACCTATTTAGCCACACCTCTTCTACTCTCAAAACTAGTTCCGGGAGAAAGATTATATCTGTACTTTGCTATTTCCACCTAGGTAATATGTTTAGTCTTTGTCTGAGAGGAGAACACTATACAACGTCCTATCTATTATGTCAATAAGATCTTATCCGAAACAGAAGAACGTTATCCTCCAACAGATAAGACAGCTTTGGCGTTAGTATACTCAGCCAAAAAACTATGCCCTTATTTTCAAGCATATACAATCGGAGTCTACACGAATTTTCCGCTAAGAAGCATTCTGTAAAAGCCAGAAGCCTCTGATAGACTCATCAAGTGGTTTGTAAAACTGGAGAATTCGACACTCACTATCTTCTTAGATCTGATATCAAATCTCAAGCACTTACATATTTTGTGGTAGAATGCACCATCTCAATATCTGACGATCAACGGAGTGTTTCTCGCTCTCCTTCGGGCTGGAAGTTATATGTTGATGGAGACTCTAGAGTTTCTGGCGTCGGGGCAGGAGTTCTGCTAATCTTTCTACGGCAAGTTATTCTTGAATATGGACTCCAATTCAAGTTTCCTGCAAAGAACAATGTAGCAAAATACGAATCTCTTGTTGCCATATTGAGACTGGCAATCGACTGTGAAGTGCAAAATTTGGTGATCTACATTGACTCGTAATTAATATCCTCATAGGTGGAGGGAGAGTTTGACATCCACAACCCTTAATTGGCCTTAGATTGCGATGTAGTAAAAATGCTCTTAGCCAGTATAAACAAATATGAGATCATCCATATTCTACGGGAGGAAAATGCACGAGCAGACGCCCTCTCCAAACTAGGTACCTCCAGAACTGGTGATACTTTCAAAAGGAAGTATATCGAAGAAATTCACTTCCCAAGTATTCTAGGCCCATGGACGATACAATCGATAAACGAGTCAAGGGAGACATCCTGGATCGATCCCATTTTAGCTTTCTCATAAGAAGGTGTTCTTTCTGAAGACCCGACGGTAGCAGCACGACTTCGAAGGCAGGCAGCTAACTTTACTATTGTTAAAGGAGAATTATAAAAATGAGCTTTCTCGGGACCCTATCTCAAGTGCCTTCCTCCTTCAAAGTCAAATTATGCACTCCGAAAAGTACTTTCAGGCATTTGTGACGAACTCCTGGGTGGAAGTGCGTTAGCCCAAAAAGTCCTAAGATAGGGATTTTACTAGCCAACGATGAAGTAGGATGCGCTAGAGCTCGTGCGAAAATGTTCCAGTTGTCAGTTGCATGCCAACCTCACCCATCTACCTGCTATAGAGATCTCAACATTGTAGAGTCCCTGGCCTTTCACCCAATGGGGGATTGACATAGTAGGACCCTTTCCTATAGCCACGGGACAGAGGAAGTTCATCATCTTGGCTGTGGACTATTTCACTAAGTGGGTAGAAGTAGAACCTCTTGCAAAGATCACTGAAGCAAATCCAAAACAGTTCCTATGGAAGAACATAATATGTCGTTTTGGCATTCCAGCGAATGTTATCGCCGATAACAAAACACAGTTCACCGAAAGGGTCATCACCACATTTTGTAAAGATCTCTACATTCAACTAGTATACATGGCTGTGGCCCATCCTTAGGGTAACAGATAAACAGAGATCACTAATTGGACTATTCTGAAGGGATTGAAGACACGGCTGGATAAGGTTGGGGGGCAATGGGCTAACGAGCTTCCAAATGTCATTTGGGCATATCGTACTACGACAAGGACTCCAACAGGAGAAATGCTATATAACCTCTGCTTTGGCACAGAGGCTATCATCCCCGTCGACATTGGGGTCCCAAGTCTTATAGTGTAAACTTTTGACTTCAACGCCAACGACAAAAATCTCAGGCACAATCTAGACCTCCTTCCAAAAGTAAGAGATGAGACGATGCTTAAGGTTGTTGCTTACGACCAGAGAGTTGCCCGGCACTATAATCGAAGAATGAAATCATGGCGTATATCGATTGGAGATCTTGTTCTACGCAGCATCAAGGCAGCAGGAAAAGGCCCTCAACACAATAAACTCTCCCCCCTCTTGGAGGGTCCATACTTGGTATCAGCTATGGTGAAGCTTGGTACTTTCAAAGTGAATGATGCTAAAGGAAATATATTTTCTCAAATTTGGAATGTTGACAATCTCTGTAAGTACTATCACTAGAGCCCAATAGTGCTACTTGTTTTAAATATTATGTCTTCAGTATTGTGTGTTTTCTATCTTCAGTAGTGGACGTCAATTGACTCTTGTTTGTTTATGGTGTTTGTAACTTCTTTAGCCCTAAGTTATCTTAGGGAAGTATGTCTTTGTTTGATATAGGAAAACTATATTCCTTTATTGAGATGAATTATTGTCTTCTTTAAATAAAATCATGTTGATAGATTCATGTAAGCTGTAAGCTTCAATCCCAAAATCCTTTGATTCGATAAGTACACAATATTTATTGCATCTCAATCGCAAGGTAATCGGTCCCAAGGGGATCCAACTCGACCTCTTCTACACAGGTTAACGCCGTTGCAAAATTCTGGCAAATAACCTCAGATAGGTCTTACATCCTTGGTGGATTCTCTCGACCTCTTCCACATAGGTTAAAGTCATCGAGCAGTGCTCTGACATACAACCTTGGATAGGTCTTATATCCTTGGTGGATTCTCTCGACCTCTTCTACACAGGTTAACGTCATCGAGCAGTGCTCTGACATACAACCTCGGATAGATCCTACATCTTTGGTTGATTCTCTCGACCTCTTCCACACATGTTAATGTCATCGAGTAGTGCTCTGACATACAACCTCAGATAGGTCTTATATCTTTAAAGGATTCTTCTAAAATCATCCACACAAGTTGGAGCACATTTCTTAAAAGCCTCAGATAGGTCGAGTACCTTAAAAGAGCATAAAGAAAATTTTCACTCAAGTTGAAATAAAAAAACTGAAATAATTTTCACTAATAAATACATCAAAAATCCACTACTAAATCAAAGTAGACATCACACATCAACACAAACACCTAATACAAATGAAAATAAAAAATTCATAAAGAAAGATAAAGTAGCACATTTGACAAAGATCTACTCTATCTCCACTATCTCATCATCAGCCTCCAAGGCAAAGGCCTTATGTAACTCGCTCTCTATCTCATCGCCATTAGAGTATGAGGGAAAGTCATTTGAGGTCTAGCTAGGTGTCAGCCCCTCAACCTCAACTCCGGCCTTCCGCTGCACCAAACGAACCCCTTCAAGAAGCCTCAAATGAATCCTTCTTCAATGCACTACTTCTCTAAAACCTTTACCTCTACTTCATAAATGTGATCACGGGCCATCTTGAACATGATCCTGGATGAAAATCTTGAAGGATATAGACTTCTTTAAATTTTTGATAATTCTCGAAGATTCAAGGCTGGTCAGAACGACCTCCTTCTCAGCAATAAGAGTCTGAGACCTCTTATTCTCAGCTTCAAGCACTGCTACCTTCTCTGCATAGGATTTCTGATCTTTCGAGAGCTGGGTGATCGTCGACTGTGCCTCCATTAGGTCGATCTAAAGCCGATCTGTTTGATGATTTTGGAGAGAAGCGGAGTGTACCATATTTGCCAACTCAGTTCTGCACCCGCATAATTCTTCCTCCAACACCTTCACCTCTTTGACCATCAAATCATACTTGTGAAGGTACTTGACCTTCATAAATTTGTCATTCCTATGGTTCAAAACATCAGTAAGTTCGACCTCAAGCTCTGTACGTCGCGACAACTGAGATAAGAAAGAAAAATAAATTAGAAATCATCCTAAAAGAAAATGGAAGAAAAAGTATCAGGGGAAGGTTGCGTACCAAGTCGCTAGCTTTGCGACACTCAATGCACTGATGACTCAAAACATCCTCAAGAATATGAATATTAGTAGGAGAAGAGACAGGTGCAGTCTTGCTCGTCGCAACCCCCTCCAACTTTTTCTTCTTCATCAAAGCCTGGGGATCTTCACCTCTCGCCTATCTCTTAGTTTCCGCCTTTGGAACTGCGGCAAGAACTTCGGGGATCTTGGAATTCAGTTTTAGCATCCTTTCATTTGATCTCCTGGCGTGGACTGACATCCCGACCCTGAACAGGAACTCTTCTTCAATGTATCTATTCATATAACGAACCTCATATAGAAGATGCTTAATGTCAGGGACCTTGAGAATCTTCTTTATATCTTCCTCTCCAACATGCAAAGGGACAGGCAGGTCCCTCAACTTCCCCTACTTCTGTGTCAGACCCCAATCATTTTTCATGAAGAAAAATGCACTGGCCCAACTCTTTGCAGGATCTCTGGTATGTATGCTCAACCATTTGGATCTGAAAGTAACATGCCCTTGTGCGTCACTGGCAAATCGGCCCATCCGGGAAAGACGCTCAGGTGTCAGAACGGCCCCTCAATCTTTAAAAAGTGCTATAAACCCGATCATAACCGACATGGCTCTGTACGTAAATTAGGATAGAGACATCCCATAATGCATCATAATCTTGATCAGCTCAGCAGGAAGAGGAAAACGCAACCCTGATCGAAAATGGGTCTCACGGATGGTTAAGTACCCAGGAGGAGGAGCGCCAGCCCGATCAGACCTCTTAAGGACCACCGCCACCACGTCATTTGGGAAGTGAAACTTCTTATGAATAATAGTCAGAGAATCACTGGTGATGGTGGATGACAGATCATCTGCCCTCACTCCTTTACCAGGCCTCCGCTCGGCGTCCGGCGGGACGATAGGATTTCTCCTGACCGTAGAATCTCTCGAAGGAAAGTGGTCGTCCGACATTACTCCAGTATAGGGAGGGACCCTGCTGTTGGACAATGAATACCAATTGACCAAGGGCAAGGGAAAGCCTCCCGTATGGCAAGAGCACAGAAGGGACAGGAAGAAGATTCTTTCTCGCAAAGAGGTCCCTGCTGTTAGACAATGTATACCAATTGTCCAAGGGGCAGAGAAGGCCTCTAATGAAAGAAGAGAGGAAGAAGACTCTTTCTCGCAAAGAGGGGCCCTGCTGTTGGACAATGGATACCAATTGTTCAAGGGGCTGAGAAGGCCTCTAATGAGAGAAAAGAGGAGAAGGAGAAGGTGCAAAGAATTAGGTCCAAGGGGGGGCCTATTTATTGGAAGAGAGGAGTTGGAAGGGTAAAAAAATGGGTGCCATGTCATCAGCTACATTAGCGCCACATAAGCACCACATCATCAACCCACCCTGTATATGCGTGCCATGTCATCGATCTATCATGTGTGGCATTGCCACATCATTGATCCATCCTGCATGGCACTGCCACATCATCCATGCCCCAATAGATTATTTATGACATGTCGGCCACAATCTGCGTGTCATGGACATGTCACCCAAGTTCTTGCATGTCTTGGCCACGTCAGCCATGACCCAATAGGTCATGGGTGCCACCTCAACCATGATCTGTGTCATGGCCACATCAGCCATGACCCAACAGGTTATGGGTACCATGGCATCGATCCGTCCTGCATGCCACTACCACGTCATCAGCACAAAAAATCCATGCATTCCCCTGGATTTGAACCCAAGACCTTGGGAATGGATAACAAAAGGTTTACCACTCATCCACTAAGGAAGAGTTGATATAAATATACCTATTTTGTTATTTATATTATAAATTATATAATGTATTTTGGCTCAAAGTTAAGTCTGAAAAAAGGTCAAATCAGACATTTTTGGGGTCCTCGGACTTATTTTTCGATATTCCGGACTCAATTTTGACATTTTTAAAGTGATTTGGGACCTCTATGTCCACAATCAGACTACATTCAAGTTTTACATCACACAAAAAAATTCCCACCAGTAGCAATGCATATTTTTGGACTCATGGAATTTCGATGTCTGAAAATAAGGGGGCAACTGATACATCAACCAAAAATTATCATGATTAAGCACAAATCTTAAGGAAAAATAAAGTTGGAAACTCCCGAAATTAAAATCAGGTGCATCTGAACTATGATTTCAGTAAACTTATAGTAGAACTGAGCTTCTTGGAAATACGAACCCTACGACACCAAATTTGACCCAATCCAAGCCCAAATGCATCCAAACCAAGGACCCGAAGTGTTGTTAGAAAGTTCAAACCATGATTTGGATTACCAAACAGCTTCCAAACATAACAAACTTATAGTCTAATCGAGCGGCTTGACAAGACGAATCCAACGAGCACAAGATCACTGTATTCCGACATCACTATGACATTCAAACATCCATCAAACGGTTCATGATCAAGGGATTCAAGATCGGACGTCCATCCAACCACTCCCAATTAACCCTTGATCCTCCACCTAATTACAGGCCATGCCATTCCCAAAATCTATAAATAGAGCTCACTCTCCTCTTGAAAGAACACCCCTGAGCCTAAGGAAAAAAGAGAGAGATCGAAGATCGCTCTTACTTCCTAGCCTCCTCGACCACTGCCGGAGTTTTGCTGGACCACCGCCGGAGTTCCGACGAACCACCATTACTCCACCAATGCCGGACATCCGCCAGACCACCACTTGACGCCCTGTGCTCCACCGGACCACCGCCTAACACCGTTACTCCTCCGGACCACCATCTGACACCTTGTGCTCCACCGGACCACCACCTAACGTCGTTGCTTCGCTGGACCACCACCTGATGCCCTGTGCTCCTCCGTACCACCGTCTAATGCCGTCGTCCCACCGAACCACCACCTGACACCCTATGCTCCATTGGACCACTATCTAACGCCGTTGCTCCATCAGACCATCACACGACGCCCTGTGCTCCACCAAACCACCGCCTAATGCTGTCATCCCGCCGGACCACCACCTGACGCCCTGTGCTCCATCGGACCACTGCCTAACGCCATTGCTCCATCAGACCATCACCTGATGCCCTGTGCTCAACCGGACCAGCACTTAACATCCTATGCTTCGTCGGACCACCATCTGAGGCCCTCGTCTTTGTCGAACGTCCTACGTGTTACAAATCTATTTTTAGATTATGATTTTGATGTTAGCAAACAAATCTTACCTTTTTCTCTATTGACTTTTTAGGACCCAAAAATCAGACAAAAATTAGAATCAGCTCAAGATGAGGTAGATTAGGGTTGATTCAGTCTGTAATTTTATTTTTTCCCTCTTGAGTCAATTGTAATCTTTGGTGTGACTA